CACCGCAACCCCCTCTTTGATACCTGCATCAACTCAGCCCATTCCAGGTCACCCACCCAGGTCATTACCCAACCTTCAGAAAACAATCCTTCCTATCTCCCAGTAACATCCACAGTCTTCATTTTCTACCCAATAATCCATTGCTCGTTGTTGGGGGAGGGGAGCTCAGTAGATGGAGACTAAGGCCCAGTTTAGGAGATCACCCCACTCTTTTCTTCTCCCCTTTTCCTTTTCCTTATCTTCATCCCCTTCTGAGCACATCCTAAGGTGTGAAAGCCATGTTGAAAGGATGAAAAGGCCACCCCATCCTCCTCCCTACCTCGTCCTTCTACTGTTTCCACCTTTTGAGAATTTGCTGGGTGCCCAGCCATGTTGGAATCCCCGGCAATGAACAGGCAGATACACTAGCACGCCACGCTGCTATGTCCACATCATACCAACCACGCTTCTCACGTATCCCAGCCACGGATTATTACCCACACTTTAAGACCTTCTTGTATAAACGATGGCAATCTTTCTGGTCAAGCCTCCACACTAATAAATTACATTCTGTAAAACTATCAATCTCCTCCTGGTCAGCTCCATTTCATCGGAACAGACGCTGGGAGACTGCTCTCGCCGGCTTACGCATTGGCCACACCCGTCTAACACACTCCTATCTGATGTCACAATCTGATCCACCCCTATGTTCCTTATGTAATGTTCCCCTTTCAATCGTACACATCCTATTGTCGTGCCCACGTTTTGAAGCAGCCCGTACCTCTGCTTTCCCCCACCTATCCTCCCTTCACCGACCTCCCAACCTATCAGACATCCTTACAGAATCCCACACTTTCTGCATCAACAACCTGTTCTCTTTCCTCAAACGCATACATATCCTTTATCTAATCTAAAACCCGACCTTAACCCTTTAACTCACCAATTCCTTTGCCCAGCTTAGACAACTAATCACCAACTCAACCACCTTTCACTAACATTAACTATAGTGCTACATGACCTTAGATGTCTAGCACATTTATCTTGCTTTTAACCATTAACCATTAACCATTAACCTTTTGAGAATCCTTTTTGGCGCACCAAAGTGGGATCGATTTTTTGTTATTCCTCCACAGACCCTTACTCTGACCATACCCTTCTCTTGCAACAGTCTCCAAAAACAAGTAGGCAAAGTTTCTTTTCGCAGTCGGTTCGATCGCTCACGCCTTCCCCATGAAGTTTATATTGGAGGAGTGTCCTACCCAGTCCGACCATAGCGTCCCCTTCCCCGTAAATGTCAGAAATGTTGGCGTTATGACCACCCGGCCGAACTGGCGCTCTACAGCCCGCTGCCCTCTGTGCCCAACCTAGCCAGATTGGTTTGCTCAGCCACGCATGTGCTAATTGTGGTGGCCCACACAATTTACTTTATAGGTGCTGCCCTGCAGTTCTCAGATGCAAACTACGTGAAGCCAGTCAAGAAGCACACCGACGAGGTTTTTCTCTTTCTACCTATTCCAAAAGTATACTTCGCTCCACTCCCCTCTCATCTTCCCAAGACATCTTAGCATCTCCCCCAGTACTTCTTCCCTCTACCACGAACCATCCTATCTCTACTCCCTCTCTCCCCCAGTTAAATTCCCTTTTCAGTCTAAATCCAAATACTCTAATCTCTACCACCTACCCCTCCTCCTCCCCCTTCTCACTCTCCCTGTCGCACTGGGTAATCTAAACGTTCCACCCCATCTTCTCTTACTACATCCTCTGCCACACCCACCTCTCCCTCTGCTCTTTGGACATTTATCCTTTTTATCCTCATAAAAATAATTTGTTTCTCATGCTTCCCCACACAACTCTTGAAGACATCCAAAACTTCCTAAACATAAGCCAAGAGAATATTCCACCCCCCTCATCCACCCTCCAATCCCTCTGTGCTTATTCGCTCTACATTCAAAGTTTTTGCCGATATCCATCCTCCTCTTCCTCAAGTCTCCCCTACCCTTCTTCCTCCCATTCTCCCAAAAAGCACCCCATCCTCTCTATGTGCATCAACATTCTCTCTCCCTTCCCCATAATCCTTACCACTCCCACCTGGATTCTCGCTACAATGCCTTTCTGCGGATCCCTCCCCTCTTGACATTCATTCTGATACCCATTTTCTCCCGTTTCCTTATCTCATTCTCTGGATTCTTCTCCAACTACCCTTTCTACCCGTATTACCGGATACTATTTTATAATGGCCCTTTTGCAGTTTTCCTCATACAGTGTTTCTCTCCCCTCCTCAGACACATACTAATCATATGACCTAATCTCCCAATACCCTCAACCCCTTTCCCTTTTACAAATCCTCGTCTTACTTCATATCCTTTTCACTATCATTCTGTCCTACACCGTTCTACAACCTGTGACATCTAACATATTTTATTCTAATCGTTAAATCATCTTTATCCTTTTCGCCACATTTCTTTACCATAGTGCTATATGACCTTTGAAGTCTAGCACATTTATTTGTTTTAACCATTAACCAATCGACCCCCTCCTCCCACATTATTACTCTTTATCCTCATTGTCTGTCTCCTTGCAGTACTACCTTATTCGACCCCACTCCTTTTGCCTCCCATATTCATCGTACTTCCACCACATTTTTTTTGTATTCTTTTTGCCAAGCCAAGTGGGATCCATTTTTTGTAAAACCCCTTACAGCTCTTTCCTTAACAACACCCTCTTCTTCAAAAAGCGCCTCCAAAACAAGTAGGCAAAGTTTCCTTCCTTCGTTCTCGCATTGTCACAATTACATTAGAGTCCCAAGCTCAAATATTATGTACCCTGACTGACCTCACTGGCAAACGTGTTCCTACCCAGCCTCACCCCTTACTCAATACTTGTAATAAAACGGTTTTGTGTGTGTGTGTGTGTGTGTGTGTGTGTGTGTGTGTGTGTGTGTGTGTGTGTGTGTGTGTGTGTGTGTGTGTGTGTGTGTGGTGTGTGTGTGGTGTGTGTGTGTGTGTGTGTGTGTGTGTGTGTGTGTGTGTGTGTGTGTGTGTGTGTGTGTGTGTGTGTGTGTGTGTGTGTGTGTTTGTGTGCGTGTGTGTGTATGTATGTATGTATGTATGTATATATGTACATACATACATACAATAAAATGCGAAGTTTAAAAAAAACATAAATGAAGATTCCACGG